ATCTCAGTAGGGTCATGCAGGTAGACCGAGCCAATTTCATCTACTCCGTATTGTATGTACATTGAATCGAGGCCTGGATGCTCTGCCCAGTTTTGCCACAAAATGACCGCAGTCAGAAAACTTCCCCATGTCGATTTTTTTCTTTTTCTTTTTTAAGGGAGGAATAGGACTGGGAAGGAGGAGGGAATAGGACAACGCTAGCTCTTCTAGATGAGGAATGCAAGAGATGTGGGAAATCCAATTATGCACAGATAGATGCTCGCCACGCACGCCAAATACCGAAAACGGCTCCCTTCCCGAAACTCGCGGCCAAACGTATCGCAAAATAGAACGAGAAATCACTGTAGTATGCCAAAAGGAAATGAAGAAAACGAATCGCAGAGTAGTAACAAGAAGAAGCCTTGGAAGAAGCCCGTCTTTCCACCGACTTTTTGGACTGCGCTGAAACTATGGGGTATGAAGGTTATTATCGTCTAGACTGCAAGTGACTGACATTGTGCTACTCAGAATTATGAGACGGTCCAGACTCCACGTCACCGCTTGGGGTATCATTCTTGCTCTTTTTCCTAGGACGGAAGAAATCTCCTATTACGTCACTGACGCTTCGCGATCTCCTTCGCGATGAGTCATCTGTCTCGCTATTCTCATCTCCAGAAGTTTCCAGGGGACTTGGCAAAGGAAGATCCGATGTCGGGATGGGCCTGTTAGCCGATCTTGTTATATTCTCCTCATCTTCGTCGAAGTTGAAGAACAAACTGGCACGGATGCTAGACCGAATTCTTCTCAGTGATGATGTATTTGGCAAAGATGCGTCGTATCCTCGTAGAAATGCGTCTTTCACGACAGTCGTGACAGTCGAAGAAAGCGGCGATGGCGATATGAATGTCTTGGAGCGATGATGGCTCGCAACGCGGGAGAGTCCTCCTGAACTCTGACGAGGAGTGAAGGGTCTGTCTGTAGGGTATGTAGGGGTGGCAGCTGGGTCTCGGATGGGAGTCGTGGCAGCAGAATTGCCTGGAGGAGTAAAAATGACAGCAGATTCCGCCACCGCCGAATCGGTAGAGACCGTTCTTGTGCCAACAGGAAGGGACGCAGCGGACGACCAAGACTCTCGCCAAGGGTTGTCGGATAAAACAGGCGTACCTGGTTCGATTGCGATTAAGTTTGGCGCGCTGTCGGATGTGCCTTGATGTATTCTTGGTTTGTCGGACTTGTCTTGAGGAGATCGTGGTTTAGCTGTACCTGCAAGGCTGACTCTCGACAATCCCCTAGGTCGTCGAGACGGTGGTTTCGGCGATTCAACGTCTTGAGCTGGTAGAGGGCCCGCTGTTGCTTCTCCGTGTCTCATTAGACCAATAGTTTCCTCGATCCCGTCAATATCAGACAATAGGTCTTCATCATCGGCCTCGTTTTGTTGCCGACCACTGGTGATAAGAAAAACGCCAAAAAAGGTGAGGAGGCAGCCGCCTACGAAGGTTGCGGCTTGTTTTGCCGTCGTCTTTTCAAAGTCTCGGTAAAGAACAGCACTTCCCAGAATGACGCAAAGTGTGAAAAGAACGAACTGGATGGGGATGACTTGTGTGGAGTTAAAGCGCTGTAATGCTTTATTAACATATCGAATCTGCATGATTGCTGTGACGAGAAGAATGAGAACCAGAGCATATGTAACTGGGGTCGTGAAGGCTCTCCAAAGCGTCGATGACAGCATAGACGAAACGCCTTTGGTTGCTAGCGCAGTATAACCACCTGAGATTCATGGTTAGAATCACCGCAAGGGAATGGGAAAGGGAAAGGGGGGATTTGTTGCATACCAAAAAGTCCCACAAGCCCGAGATCTATGAGAACAGTACGTCTGCCATATTTGCTGCTTGCCCACATCAACAAGACAATCAACGAGACTGTGACACCGAGGTAGATTTCGAATTCCATGGTAGTGATTGCGTGCCAAACATCGTGGGGTTCCAGCTTGGTCTCCTCCTGGTTTGCGCTGAGCACAACGGTAACGACGCCTCCAACAGCAATTACGACGCCCCAGAAATCCCTGGCGCGAAATCGCTCGTGGAACATTACAGGCGCGATAATACAGTTGGATATCAATGCCACGACGCCCAAGGGTGACACAATCGAAGCAGGAGCAAATCCGTAAGCCAAAAAATTACCCATTTCGCCCACAGTTATGAGGATCTGTCCCAGCCACCAATATGGGGACTTGAGGTATGTTGATGTAGTTTTGTCATGTTCTCCATCAGCGCTGTCAACATCGGTCGGGGCGATTGACTGGGAAGACTGAGATAGAGGATCAGCTTCGACTAATTCTGGTCCATTATGGACTCGACCAGCGCCGTTTACAGTGCCATCATGACTGCGTCCGTTGCCGTTCCTATGCCCGTTAGGCTCTCCGGGCATGGTGCCATATGATGATGCACCGTTGCTGCTACTTTGCGCCTGTTTCAAGGCAGCGCGCGCCCGCTGCCGTACACGCACTCGTTCCTTATGTAGTCGCGTGTGCGCATATCTCTGGACGTTCAGAGCCAAGGCAATGAGGACATTACCGACGATGGCTGTGATGATGCCGATGAGAGATGACCATTGCTGCAAAACCTCGCCAGGGTCGCCTGGGGACTGTGTAGCTGTAGCCGTGGCTGCCGACGACGTGGTTATGCTCGCTACGGTAGCTGCGGCCGTTAATGACCACGGAAAGGCCCCTGTCGCAGCGTCCATCGAGGCAGCGCGAGCGTCGTGGCCGGCAGACGCAGTCGCGGGAAGCTTTCGAGGGCAGGCTGGAGATAGTTGAAGCGCCCGAATGCAGCAACCTTGACGGATCCCAAGACCATCGGGTTTTCAGGACAAGCAGACAGGAAATAAGATAGAAGCGTTCCGGATCAAGGGCCTAGTCGGGTCATGGCTACTCTCAGATGTGGCGACACAAAGGGAAACCCAAGAAAAGCTCTGGCAGAAGTCGGTCACTGCAGACTTCGGATGTGATGTGACGTTTTGCAAGGCGAGTTGCGGAGCGGCGTTCGACGGGTGGGTGGGGCTGTTAGTACGGAGGCTTGGCATACGTCGCATCTGTCCTCGATAACGTGGGTACCTAAGGTACGTCAGAGTAGCTCAGTAGGGTACTTCTCTAGCTATGAATAGCTTAGAAAGCTCTGGTCAACAACAAGAGCTGCAAAGCCTGGCTGTCACCCGGAAATCGGAATCCTGTCTCCCAGTGCTTCCTACTATGCGCGTGCCAGCTTCAATATCCCACACCAAGGCAAAAGGCGCAGGTTCCTCAGGTTCCGTAGGCTTCGTACCTACCTCGAGTACGGAGGTATCCAGCTACCCTAGAGGGCTCGCAGTCATGCTCGGACACTGCGGCGTTGTGCCTTTCGGAAGCCGGGGCCCACAAAAATCATCCAAATGTGAACTCGTGCAACTCGTGAGCTCGAGGCCGCGACTTGTCCATGAATCCGAATGCCAGATATCACTACTCTCGAGCAGAGCATCCAACGGCAACGCTTATTTGTATATTGCTAGACTTGGGGGTCTCCAGCCACATTTCTTATTGACGCATCTTTCTCTCTCGTAACCTAGGGCCATTTTCGCCTTCCTCGCCACAGATTCCCCGCAAAGCGTGCCACTCATTCTGCCCACCGCAACGTCCGTGCAGCTACAGCCTTACGGTTAACGCTGGATATATCAAGCCTAAGGAGGCGGGCTTCTCCCGTTAGTCATATTTACCAGAGGGGTCATAGCTATGGACATCCACGACGTTAAAAGGCTCACCACCATGGACGTCTTATCGCTGATCTCCTCCCCGACTTATGCACCAACTACACTTCGCCACCTTCCTCAACCTGTTCCTAACCATCTGCCCACAGGAGTAGATGGCTCTATTTTCACATTTGAAGACGCCTTTGAGGATCTCCTTGCTGTCTCACAAGGCCAGAATCTCCCCGACATCACAACTCGCTATCAGCAAAGGCGGCTGCTCCGGGATATGTTCCCCTCCGGAGAACCCACCTGGTTTTGGCTGCGACGCCTTGAATCCCAGGGCCTAGTCCAGGTTCCCAGTCGTGCTCGGTTCTTCAAAGCACACCAGCCAGACTGGTCTAGCTTTCACGAAGAGCTGGACCGGCATGCGGCTGATGCTTGGCGTAGTGTCAGCAAGGGTTATGACCATGATGCCCCTGGTTCTGGAAACTTCTTTGAAGACATAGGCAGAGCATTTAAACAACTGGAACGGGGTTTTGGGGGGGATAGTGCAAGGAACTCCTATGCCGGCCGCAAGGAAAAGATGGAACTGGAGAAAGGACCCGATACCTTTGAGGAGCTCTTTTCTGAGATATCCTCAAAGTTCAAGGAGAGCGCCTCATCGTGGGATACATTCGTCAAGAGTATCTCGGAAGAAGTCAAACTTAAGTCTCAAGAGGGGAGGCGTGAGGCGCAGATTGATAGTCACGATAAGAACAAGGTTGTCACAAACGAAAATGAGTATGTGGATCGGTTTGGCTACTTGCACAAAACCGTTACCCGCAAAACGTTGGATGCGGATGGGAACGAGGTTGGCGGCGAGACCTATGTTACTATTCGCCCAGCGGATAAGCACCTGGATAACGAAAATAACGTTGAAGCCGGAAGCACCGAAACCCTCGAAATTGGAACCAACTCTAAGAAATCAAGCTGGTTTTGGAAATAACGCTTCATACTCCCAACCCGATTACGTGTTTTTTTCTTTCTTTTGGCGTGGGAAATTATTACTCCTCACTCAATTTACTACATAGTGTGAACGTGGTATTTTTTTTCATCAGATGGACTTGTCTCTTCCGGGATAGTTGATTACATCTTTTTAATGCTCATTGAGCTCCCTCTTCCATGCGGAAAACATATAAACAGCTACAATGAGCCGTCTCCTAACTGCTCTTTTTACCTTGTTAAGTGTGCAACTGGCTAAATGCTTACGTGGAATGCCATTCAATGGCTGCGTCTCGAAAAAAACTATCTTGCCGCCTGTATTAATTCTTACCCCGAGCCTTCGCCTTCTTTTTTCTCATCAACCTTGTACGAGCAATAAGTCTCTGCTGCATGTCCTCAGCCTTAGACGCTCCGTGTTTTTGTTTACCATCGCCATGGGTTCGTGTTTCTCCGTTTTCATCCTTCGCACCCTTTCCGCGTCGTCCTAACTTTGGTGCTTTGCCCTTGCCAGTATCCGCCAATTCAGTTCGGGTGTTGCGTCCTTCTCGCTGCGATTCACCCGACTTCTCCTCCGCGGCACGCCGACGCTGGACAACGTTGGCATTTTCAATGGCAAATTCAACAATCAGTCGCTGCTTTTTTCCATTGTCGCCTTGAAGCTGGTGGCCATTGAGATACCGCAACCCCATAAGAGCCCAATGGTGTGACGTGTATTCAATGAAACCATATCCACGACTCTTTCCAGCACCACTCATCTCATCAACCTTGGATCCCTGGTTACTTTCAAAAACCACTTTAGCTTGTCGAACAATACCCTTGCCCTTCAATTTTCGTTGGCGCTCCTTCTCTTTGGCATCTTTACCATCTCTGGCATTCTCTTCCTTGGATAAGGGTTGCCGAAGACCTTCTTTCACATCCACGGCAAAGCCCACAACAGCCTTTCTTGCGAGTTCCTTCAACTCTTTCGAACCAATGTTTCGAGGAATGTTCCGCAGAGCCAATCGTGTCAGACTGAGATGCAGACTAGGGTTGCTTTGGACAAGTTTCTTCCGCTGCGCAGCGCTGGCCTGGCGCATTTGAATTTCAGAAGGGCTGAGTACATCGAACAGAGGAGATCCTCGTCCAATGGCTCCTTCAGAGAGCAAATATAGGCGACGCTTGTCCTTCTCTCTGCGTTTCGCAAGCGAATTATCAGCTAGATTCGCTGCCTCCGCCTTGTTCACGGCCTGAGCAACTTGGAGAAGACGGCCTTCAAGAGTGTATTTACCACTAGGGTCAGCATTCTCGTCCAGCAGTAGTGACGGCTTCGACCCTGCGGCTGATGCGTTAGGTCGAGGTGCCTCTTTGATACACAATTTGGCATCGGATTGCTTCACGAAGCATACAAACCCAGTGCCAGCAGGCTTTTCTGTAACTTTATCAATGACAACTCGGGCATAACGCACAGCACCGAAATGAGAAAAGAATCCTTTGAGTTGCTCGTCCGTCGTTGTAAAGGGAAGGTTTCGAATGAAGACAGTCGAGGAATTATCGGTAGTTTTCTTCTCTGCACTTGACTTGCTGTCCACTTGCTCCTCCTCGTCGTCGTCTTCATCCTCATCCTCCATGTTTTGCATGTGATTTTTCATAAAATTTTCTAAATCTGCGTCGAGCTCGTCGTTTTTATCAGGCTTATGAGCGGTACCATCATCGTCGTTGTCATTGTCATCCTCGTCATCATCAAGCGACAAAGCAGTTTCCGGAAGGGTTTTCTCATCTGCACAATACTCTTTCTCACGGTTGGGAACTTCGTCTTCGGCCTCCAGATCCTGCTGTTTTTCCCAGGTCTCCTTGTCCACAGCCCAGTCAACTGCCAATGTCCGGCCATCGATTTCCTTGCCGTTCACGCCCTCCAAGGCCTTCTCCGCATTCTTCTTGCCACGAATCGTGACAAACCCGAAGCCCCGGAGCTTCCCCTTCGACTGGGGTAAGTCAGCAAATTTGACTTTGCCATAACTTTTAAATAGATGGGAGAGTTGCTCAGAGGTCTTGATGCTCCAAGGCAGATTTCGCACAATGAGCTTGGGTGGCTTTTGACTTTCTTCTCTCCCAGGCTTTTTATGGACGGTCTTCTCTGAATTGGCGGCGTTTCGTTTCCTTGGCTCAGCTATGTCAATGCGAATACGCTTTCCTTCCCACTCTGCCTTGTCCAAAGTGTTCTTGGCCGCCAGAGCATCGTCAGAATCTGCCAGTGTAACAAAGCCGTAACCCCTCGACTCTTTGGTCTTTTGATCGACAACGACGACTGCATGCTTAACAGGAAAATGCTGAGAAAAAAAGTCTGCTAGGGCCTCATTCGTGACGTTCGCAGGTAACGAGCGGACGAACAAGGATCTGCGTTCCTCTACTCGTGGACGCTTCGTACTTTGGCCTACTTCAATTTGAGTATCCGCGGATGATGGTAATAGTTCTTCGACCTCGGACCGTTGTCTTTTGCGGTCATTCTTCGAGCTGGCCATTGTGGCTAGCTGCATAGGCTTTCCCGAGCCTTTGACTGTTTGAAACCGTGGTTGGGCGAAAGGTTTGCTCTTGCGGGCCGTAGACCCAATGCCTTCTACAGACGATAACCAAAAAAAAAAGTCCTTGAGCTGGGGTGAGACCCATAATTTTTATCTTATCGCACGTGATGGTGGGAGCTTTGTGTTATCATGAATTACGCTAAACCATATTTGGAACATTGTTGACTTTCAACACACCCTTGCGACGCGACCCATCAGACATCTAAACAACGGCTTCATCTGGGGCCCCTCAACAACAACGACAACAACTCCTATTTCTCAAACCCACGAATATCGGTAGCAAGGAGCAGACGCTCCGCCGTCAATATAAACGATGCCCGCACAGACTTCCAGTCGGTCGACGAGGAAGTCGACTACTGTTTCCCGAAAACAATCAACAGTGACTCTCAATTCCCGCGCTTCTGTCGCATCACGCGCCTCATCCGCCGCTATCGAGTATATTGATACTCCAGACAACGCATTGCGGACAAAAATATGTGCAGTATTTCGTGATGCCCAGCGTACAACCGCAACACATCGAAAACTTGCCGTGAACCTCCGTAAGATTCATGAGTCATGTTGCTACGAACCCGCCAAGCCTACGAATGCACCCTCCAACGAATTTGACGAAGCCGCTTTCAATAAAGAGTTTGTTCGCTGTGTGCTGAGGATTATGCCGGTGAAGAAATCCGAGAACGTTGGAGAGAAGTGTGTCAGATTTGTCGGTTTCTATCTACGACATTCCAACGACAAGGACAACGAGATCTTGGGTGATGTTGAGGGAGACACCAGTTTAATGCCGGAAACGCCAAGCACAAGACTCACGTCAGAAATCCTTGAAGAGGTCCTGCCATTGATGACAGCTAAAGATAAATTTGTCCGGTATCGATCGACACAACTCATATCACAAATTATCAACTCTTTAGATGCTATTGATGACGACCTGTTTCAGAAGCTCCGCCATGGCTTACTCAAACGGATTCGCGACAAAGAGGCCATGGTGCGCTCCCAAGCTGTGCTTGGGCTCGGCCGTCTTGCTGGCAATCAAGCCGAAGGTTGTACCAACTCGGAAGACAGCGACAACGACCAGGGAACGGATTTGCTGGGCAAGCTTCTCGAGGTCATGCAGAACGACCCTAGTGCTGATGTACGACGGTCCTTGCTTGTTAACCTTCCTATTCTTCCCAACACTCTTCCATTTTTGCTCGAGAGGGCTCGAGATCAAGATGCTGCTACCCGAAGAGCAGTCTACTCCCGTCTTCTGCCGGCTCTGGGTGATTTTCGACACCTCTCGCTCTCCATGAGAGAAAAGCTTCTTCGGTGGGGTCTCCGGGATAGGGATGATAATGTTCGCAAGGCGGCTGGTCGACTCTTCAGGGAACGATGGATCGCGGATTGTGCCGGAATTTCTCAACAAGACGATGGCACTTCGGAAGAAGCTTTGCCCGTTAGTTTTGATGGCTTGTTGGAATTATTAGAGCGCATCGATGTGATCAATTCTGGAGTGGAGAACGGTGTGGCCCTCGAGGCCATGAAAGGATTTTGGGAGGGTCGTCCGGACTATCGGGAGGCAATCACGTTCGACGATAACTTTTGGGAAACGCTTTCTGCTGAGTCTGTTTTCATGGCCAGAAGCTTCAATGACTTCTGTCGCAGCGAGGGTGGCGGACGATACGAGTCACTGGTCGAAGAGAAGCTACCTGAAGTGACCAAACTCGCCTTCTACCTTGGGCGCTACATGGACGCTCTCATCGAGGCTCTCAAGAGGGCAAGCCAGCCTGCTGCAGATGAAGAAGAGGAGGAAGATACTGTCGAGCAGGAGTTTATTATTGAGCAAATGCTTCATATTGCCCTGACTCTTGATTACTCAGATGAAGTTGGTCGAAGAGAAATGTTTAGGCTGCTGCGGCAGTCCTTATCGATTCCGGAACTCCCAGATGAAGTCACTAAACTTACCGTCGAGGTATTGCAGTATATCTGCGCTCCAGACGCCGCCGGTGAGCGTGAGTTCTGCAGCATTGTCCTCGAGTCTGTTGCAGATGTTCATGACACCATCGTCGACGATCCCCTTGCGGATGAAGGTGACGATAGTTTCCACTCTGCAAAGTCAGAAGTGAGCCGTGGTAGCACACCTACCAATGAGAAGAAAATAGGCAAGGATTCCGAGCTAAGTGAAGAAGATGCTCGAGAGAAGGCAGTCAGGGAAATTGTTGTCAACATGAAGTGCCTCCACATCGTTCAATGCATGTTGACCCATGTGGCTGGTAATTTGAAGGACAACGCCGATCTGGTTTCGATGTTGAACAATCTTGTGGTCCCAGCTGTGCGAAGTCATGAAGCGCCTGTACGAGAGAGAGGCTTGGTATGCTTGGGCTTGTGCGCACTGTTGGATAGATCCCTGGCTGAAGAGAATCTGGGACTGTTCATGCACTTCTTCAATAAGGGGCACCCAGCCTTGCAAATCACGGCTTTGCACATATTGACGGATATTTTAAACGTGCACGGTGCTCAGCTGCTATCATCTACCCCTGGCTTACTGAAAGTCTACGTCAAAGCTGTCAAAGGCGGAGGCAAGGCACCAGAAGTTCAAGCCGCGGCAACTGTGGCCGCGTCAAAGTTGTTGCTCGGCAGAGTTGTGAGCGAGCAAGATGCATGCGAGGAGCTTTTGAAAGCACTTGTTGTTGCGTATTTCGATCCTTCTTCTGCGACCAACCAGCCCGTTCGACAGGCATTGAATTATTTCCTTCCAGTATTCTGTTATTCGCGTACAGCCAATCAGGATCTGATGCAGGCTATTTCCTTGCAGGCGTTACATTCTCTGCTGAACTTGCGTGAAGGCCTGGAGGATGATGACGTTGACGTAGGAGAAGACATGGTTAGCATGACTACCATTGGTGCCTGTCTGGTAGACTGGACAGACCCAAGAAAATGTTACTCTCCTGGGGCTGCCTTGGATACGGAGAAGAAGAATGTAAACGGCGATGTCCACCTCCGTCTTGGCCAGGACATTATGGAGAAATTGCGAAGCAATGTCAACAGTAAGTGCATTAAACCATATATTTTCTTGTTATATAAGTCTTGCAAAAACTTACCAGGTGAGTAGAAGAGGAAAAGAAGCTGGTAGCTGGTCTTCTAGGCAAACTCCACATCTCACCAGGGTCATCAGAGGCTATGATCCGAGACCTGTATGCAGATGTGAGCGAGGCTGTTGAAGAAGGCCTGCTTAGTGATGCCACAAGCCGCAATGCGCTGTACAAGATCCACGTCAGCCTGGGCAAGATTGTCAATACACTCGACGAGCAGCAACCATCCAACAGGCGTACCAGCCGTAGTGTGTCTGTTGCAGCCACAGATGGACAGGCAGCAGAAGACAGGACAGTTTTGGAGGAGCCCAAGATCAAAGAGGAAGAGTTGGATGATAGTGACGAGGGCACTGTTGTGCTGAAGAAAGATGACAAGGAATCGGTGACAGACGATGTCTCACTAGACGAGGAAGATACCAAGATGGAGGGCGCTTAAGCACCATCGAGACATAATGAAATGAATGAGATGTGAAGACGTAATGGAACAATGTATGGATGGGAGTTCTGCGAATTAGAAACCTCGTGCTTGCTTGCTTGGTACTTGCATGATGTCTATCGATATTCGTGATCGAGAGATCTAGATGTCTGTCTACTTTTTATAATTACCAAAATTGAATCCACCTTCTTTTTACGAACACGCGTTGTTGCTACCTCGCACCGAGAGAAAAGAGAAGGCCACCCAAGCCAACATTTATGGCCAGGTGCTGGGCCAGATTCCAAGCCATACAGTACAGATATTTGGGTGAGAAGACAGTCCAAATGAATAGGTGCGTTCGCAAGGCCGTGCAAGCTGCCATGACAAAGGCAACACTAGCCGTCGCAAACAGGGTCAGGAGAACCAAGTGATGACGAAATACATGCCGCTGGCCCTGCCTGAATTTCTCCAAGAGTAGCAGATTGGTCGCTATGGCCCAGAAGATGGGACCCGCCCAGTTGCTGACGAATGTGAGGGCGCCGACGGCGACGACATTGAAGCCACTTATGCCGTTATAGGCGCTCGATAAATCGACAGACGAGATGGCATTTGATCCGCCAAAGGCAAAAAAGGATGCGTACTGGAACAAAATTGATGTAGTGGTTATTTCGGCCACTGTCAGTTCACTGAAGTCTAGCAAGTGCAGGAGTATGCTCGAGAGGAGGAGAAGCGGGATGTTTGTCGCCCGGGATTGAGTCATTGCCAGGAAGGCGTAGATGTGGTGTATCATCTTAGCTTTAATTACGTAAATCAGCAAGTGATGAAAGCATATACGACAAGGTATTTAGTTTTGCTAGATGAGAGTACGTACCGGATGATGTGGCCCTCGAGCCTCCCTTGCGCGCCTGGTAGACTGCGAAACTGGACAGTAGCAAGAGGACGGCAAAGACGACCCTGGCCCTCGAAAGCAAAGACTGCCCATGAAACGCATCATTCATCTTTTTGGCAAAGGCTGTGACGAGTTCCGGTGAATCCTCGGCCGTAAAGGCGAGTTTGAAAGTGAAGGCTGAGGAAACCAGCACAGATGTGACTGATGTGATTGCAACGTATGGCAAGTCGTGAATGCTGGACATGAGCTGAAGAGATGCCACAAAATAGGAGGCGATGATCAAAGCCCACAAAAGCGGCGGATTGGGTACAAGAAATAGTTTGACTACGTCTGCTTCCCCTGCAAACTTTTGCCCTGTTTGGTTCCAGCTCCTCACCAGTCGAATGACGGCCAATGCCAGCAAATACCTTAAGCCACTGGATGCAGCTTGAGTTCTGCAAGAAGTAAGGTGGATTAGCCAGCCTGTAGTCGAAGAAGAATGTGAATCCTCAAACAAGGGGCCTTATTTACCTTCGAATAGCGCCCAGGCCAAGGTGCCCAATCCAAATAGTAGAAGACCAGTACCAAAAATGTTGCTCCTCCTCGACGTAGCTGCTTGCAAACATCATCCCGCCGTACGATACAGTCACGACAACTAGTGGCAAGATGTTCCCGACACTGGCAGTTCCCAGGCGTGTCATCGCCAACACATTGCATCCGACGGCTACCAGAGCAAGTGCCTGGCCCAAGGCTAGTTTGGGGATGTCGTAATTTGAGGCCATGCTGCTCATCAGATCCTGAGCTTTGCGAAGCCAATTGGCCATGCCAGAAAGCCAGACCTGGTCCAATGTCGAAGACCCGAGCAATGAATCAGCTTCTTTACTTAGCCTGTGCCAATCGCATGCCAAAGTGTTAATGTTGGTATCTTCGAGGGAACAAGGCTTGCTATCTGTTTTCGGGTCAAACAGCTCCTTGCCAGAAACGGCTGTCACAATACCAAGTATCTGTTTCGCGTTTCGGGTCAGAATCTGTATTTGATCCTTTGGCGAGGGCCAAAATGACAGAAATTCAGGTATGAATGCACCAAGATTGTTCTTGGAGATTGGAAAGCCGAGCAACGCAGCGATTGTGGGAGTAATGTCAGATTGTTCTACCGTGGTGTAGTAGTCAAACTCATCCTTGGGTTGCGTTGGGGCCGTCAACTTGGGTAGAACACCCTTGAATTTTGGAGACATGAACACCAGTGCTGGAGAAGTCTCGCCGGGAGATGACGCGCCGTGATTCCCAGCATCGTTCATTCCGTGATCACCGCAGAGTACAAACAAGGTTGATTTCAAATGGTCTTTCGACTCCAAGGCCTCGTAAATCAATTTTACGATACTATCCATTTCGCGTTGTTTTGGGAGCATATTGTTACTGTTTCTCGCGCAATTAGCTCAGGCGCCTGGAAAAGTAAAAAGAGCCACGGTCCCGAAATACTACCTTCGCGGTCCGGACTTGTGGCCGATATGATCCAAGCCTAAGTAATGCAGTACCATGAGGCCCCAATCCGTGTTCTCGAGCTCACCCGCAATATTTCTGGTAACATTATTATCTACCTCTGTGAAATCCTAAACCTAATATCAGCCACCTGTATCGTTGGATGGATTCAGGAAAAGGTGTACCGAAACAAAAAAGCTGGACGTGCCGTCATAGCGGTCAAAGATTTCAGGAAACAGCTTGAGCCAAGTATCATCGCCAAACATCAACAGCTTGCCCTTGCCAGCGGCCCGAATTTGGGCAAGCCAGGTGTCTTGGGCAGCAAGAGTGGATGAGGTGTCGGCCTCATCAAAGTTGAGAATCAAATCGACAAATGACGGGATTGACCCAGTGGTGATGGCCTTCAGTCTCGGCATGGTTACTGTTGGCGAGCGAGCGTTGGCAGTAAACGGCATGGCCACGCCCTTTCGAATGAGACTAGATATTTTTAGGGATACAGTAAGCAAGGGGCTAATCATTCTTGATTTGAACTGGCAAGTCACCTTTGAGTATATTCAAACCCAGAGTCTTGGGAGAAGACGAAGTCACTGAAGAGCAGAGCGGTTAGAGATATACATTTTGTCGGCATGGAGTCTTTCACAAGCACACCTTCTAAGCGCATCAACCACCATGAACACCAGCCGGTCAAACGGCGCGCGTGGTGGCTCACCAGATTCCAGTGGCTCATATTCTGCAAGGCCAGGAAGAACCGGTTTATAAGGGAAGAATCCGACTCCAAATGTAACAATAGACAAGGGCACCAGAATATTGGCTATGGCTACGAGAACAGCACTCAGCCGCAGCCCAGCGTCGGTGGTCATGGTGTCTCTGTCCTTGGTTGGCTCCAGTGACGAGGCAGGGACTGCAGGACGGTGCCGAGAGAAGTACGCACACGTCAAACAAAGGACTCATCCATCTGACAGGTGCCTGAAGGGGACAAAGGCAAGGAAGCAAAAGTCGGCAATTGAGCACCAGCAGGGTAGTACGATGTTCCCGTTTTGGAGGCGAGCACCTTGCGGTGGTGGTATCAAGGGAACATTGAACAAATAAGCCAGGGGGGTCCAGAAGGAGGGTCCAGGGGTGACATTGACATCAGGGCCAATTGAGACATGTCGACTGTTCAAGGGCCTCAAGGCCAGGCTGCGCCACCGCATTCGAGCCAATAAATTCTACATTGAAGCCACACATGCTATAACAATAATGCCAGTTCCAAGTGCGAGATTGTCTTGCTAGAGCGTGCAACGTGAGTGCTCACTCAGCTAAATACATGACTGGATTATTTGTTCGTCTTTATCTCCATGTTTCCGAGACATCATAAATGCATCAACTCTTGCGGAAATGTACGCCATAAACCGTTCAACTCCAAACTGGAAAACTCAATCAATTGGGCCGATTATCGGCTGCCCTTCTTTTTCTTGGCCAGCCTGTCACTGTACTTGGCGAAAACAATGCCTGACTTCTTCTGTTTTCTCTTGTCGATGCGCTTCTTCCCAATGCGCGACTTTGAAGGCTTGGAATCGATTTCCATGCCTGAGCCAGCTATTAGTATACTGACGACTAGCTAGAGTATAGAGTAGAGTACATACCCGTATCATCACCAGCTTGGGCGCCGTCAACTTCTTCCGCCACGTCTTCGCTTGCGTTGGCTGTAAGTCTTTAGCATTATGTGGAAATTTTCCATTCGACATTCCGTCAAGTCGCCTACCGTGCATGTTCACATCCGAAGACTCGGGCTTAGGTTGTCTTGCCAACTCCAACAGCTTCGCGGACAAACGCTCGTTTCGAGCAACCTCAGCTGGGCTGAAAACACTGGCGGCCTTGCGCCTGTTGTTCTCTTTCCTGGTACTTGACCTCGAACTCTTGGCCATTTTGTCTGGGGGTATGTGCAGCAAAAGAAAATGACGGCCAGGAGGAAGGCGTGTTCAATGGTGAGCCTTGGGTATCTGGATGGTGTGAGGCGAAAAAAAAAGGTCTTGATAAGATAAGGCGTCACATCGTTCACAGTCGCAACCTGCACCCATTAGCGGGGCGCAAAAAAGGCGTGAGATCCGACATGGGTGACGCCGGCAAGACCTGTGGCGCAAGGGCGCCAGGGTGCTGGCTTCTGCTGAGTGGCTGGAAAGAGCCAACTGAGAAAAGGACGGATAACGCCTGGCAGTATTGACGGAGGCACCAGCCGGAGGTTCAAGATTGAAGCGAGGCTGCTCCCTCTGGTGCCGGTCCCGGCAAGATTATTCTCGCCCTTCTCGCCGCCGTCAAGTGCCCGTCACTCCCCGTCACTCCCCGTCGCTGACTGTCGCTGGTTGTCGCCGTCGCCAGCTGCCTGCCACTGTGACCGCCTTCCGGATCAATTCAATGTTCGTTTGATCAAAGGGAGCAAAGCATCACGTTCCAACACCAACAGTGAAGCCGGGTTTCGTCATATTTTTCGCCAAGTTGGGTCAGGATGCATTGCATGACCTCCCCACTACGCCGGCAAAATCGATCCTTTTCGACTTAACAACCTCCAAACTCTGCTTACACCGACCGCGAACTCTGTCGGAACAAATCACAGTCTCCCCGCCGGGCCGGGCGCAGGCGGCAAGTGAATGTCTGGTGGGCATCCTGGCACCAGCGCGAGCGACGACGTTTCGACCTGCGAGCGCAGTGTCTTGCGAGCCGCGAGCTACTCGTCACCGAGGATCTAGCAGACTTCTGAAATCCAGGGCTCGACGTTTCACACAACCAGACACTTTGAATAGTGGCCGATCCCGGGGCCCGGGTGCCCAAGAGTGTTTTTAAGCCTTTGCTTTACCACATCGAGACGTCCCGGGTTGCTCTTGCCATTCATGCTGAGCTAGGCCTTGGTCCTGCCGCTCTTTCCTCTCTCGTCTTGTCCCCTCCGCCTTCCCGTCGGAACGGTCGAAACCCACGCCCAGATCATATTGCAATGGCGACTTCCTTTTCCCCCATACAGAGGCAGGACGTAACTGCCCTTGTGCGGCTGGTCCAGGGCAACCAGCTGTTGAACCGTCAGCTTTCCTCCGTTTGTCAAGTTAATGGTCTGAAAAGCACCGGTGTCAAAGCTGAACTCCAGCGCCGCATCGTGGACTGTAGGTTTTGCCCGCCAGATGAAGTTGACTGCACATTTCTATCTAACCAATCTCTCCATAGTGATACAAGAAACTGTCAACGCTAATGATGCCTCACGTTTTCAACAAGTCCGGCAAAGCATCACCAATGCCGCCTCGCAACGACCGAGTCCATCGTCTAAGGCATCTACTCAACGAAGTACCATGACTACTGCCGCAGGGCTTCCTACCACGCAGTTTGCGCCTCCAATGACTTCCTACAACCAAGCCGCCACTCCTTACCAGCAACGGGGTCTTCATGGATCTACCAGCGCCATAAACGGCCGTTTTCTAAATAATCCATTCGCCTCGTCCACTGGCAATATAATATTCCACCCCAGTCCATTCTACTGTATTGAAACCGCTGTTAGCAACTTGCGGGCATGTGAGAGTATGTCGTCTTCTTCCTTTGGCCACCAAACAGGAATGACTCGTCTACTGACCCCGGCCTGCAGCAATGTCACAGCATAGGAATTCGATCAACATACCAATCAAAGCTAGTGACCACCCATCGCTCCAACAGTGTCTAACTGACGAGTCGTACCGAGTCATGATATTTTGTGCCGGTGACATAAATGGGGTCCAAAATATCGCATTCCCCCATCAGTCTGAGCTGAGGGTGAACAACCAGGAGATCAAGGCAAATTTGCGTGGCTTGAAGAACAAACCTGGGTCTACTAGACCAGTTGACATCACGGCTGCACTTCGCCTAAAACCCCCTCAATACATCAATAACGTAGAGTTCACGTATGCTCTAACCAATAAGGTAAGATTTCCCATCTGGCGTCAGTTCTTTACCACCTCTAGGAAACATAGCTGATATGTCAACTCAGAAATTTTATCTCGTTGCCAACGTTTGCAAGATCACAACAGTAAAGGAGCTAGTCTCCATTATTTCTACACGTCGAAGGATACCAAAGGAGTCGGTTGTATCCGAACGTAAGTTGATTTTTTTTTTTTTCCTTTACAAACATCCTTCCTCGCTAACCCAGTTGAACAGTAAACGAAAAGGCCCAGGATCCAGACGTTGTAGCGACTTCACAAGTTCTCTCCCTAAAATGCCCGCTCTCTTATATGAGATTGGACGTTCCATGCCGCAGCTTGAGTTGCACTCACATACAATGCTTTGACGCTACGTCGTATCTTCAGCTTCAGGAGCAAGGACCTCAATGGCTCTGCCCCATTTGCAACAAATCGGCACCTTTTGAACAACTAGCAGTTGACGAGTAAGTTCAACCTTGCTGATGAACAGGAAATCATCAAGACTGACTCTCAGCCGCTAGGTACGTCCGGGATATTCTAGCGAACACACCCAAAGATCTCGAAACAGTCACTATTGAACCAAATGGGCAGTGGTCGACGAAAACACCTCGTGATGATAATCCGAAATCATCTAAAGATCCTGCTATTGACGACGATGACGAATTAGAAATCTCGGAAATCAATATTGTCGGGCGTCGATTAGAAACCCCCAAGACTATTACACCCGTAATCGGCACTCCTGCATCTGGGGGAAGAGATAGCTCAGCAAGTGCACCACGCGGCGTTGCAACCAACAGCGCTAAGCGCCCAGCAGCGGCAGTCATTGATCTGACGCTGTCATCCGACGAGGAGGAACCATTGGAAAAGCCTCGTAAGAGACAGAATACTGCAGCAAATGGATTCCAGAACTTGAGTAGCATGGGCTTCCTGAGCGAATCTCCCGTGGGTTACCGGCCTAGCTGACCGATCAGCGAGAAAACATGCTCTGAGTAAGCGGTTACCGGATTGAAGCTCGTCTGAGCCCTCTGGCAACAAGGGCTCAAGACGAGTTGTGGTTCGTGATTATGTCGTTTGTTTTCCTTTGGTATTTTGGCATACGAGGCAAAGGCGTTGGGGCTGAAGAAAAAGGAAGATTCCCCTCTTGTTTAGTCGGATTGGCTCCATCTTTTGCGGTTCGACGAGGAGATGTGGAGTTTGGTTTTTTCAAGGTTGATTCATGGACATGGCATAGCAGTTATATTTACTAGGGACGGTTTTGTCCTTTAAATTATACGGAGATGAGACTAGTGTACAAGGGTATATACACTGCCTTTATTGGCTTAGCATATGCCTTTGTCTTATGTCGGACTGGTCCGTATGCATCAGGTTGAAGAACATGCCTACTAGCAGGCATAGGTGAAGCGGAATAACTTGAGTGGTTTCGTGATATGGCGTGTTATGGGCGCCGTGCGAGAAGTATAGACACTTTACAAACCTTAGCAACCAATGTAAAAGGCAACCCTAGTCGTCTTATTCCCGGGCTGTTGAAGGAATAGCATAGTAATGCGCAATAATATGGGGGATGCGCAATACTATGTAGCACCATGTATCGAGGCCACAACAGAAATGGCCGTTTGAAAATGTTGGAGTGGTATTGATTAAGATTCTGTCGATGTTGTGGAGGAGATCAGACGTTTGTTTGGTATACTGTATACATACAATACCACTGGAACAGTGACGCAAGGACTCCAGTTCGCCTTACCGGCACGTGCAGATCAAGAGCTGCCTACCCTACAGAAGCCCGACTCCTCAATATTCCCCCTGTCTTCAGAGCCACTACTACCAACCCCGCGGTCCATCAGCGCCCATTCAACAACAACATGTATGCTCGTCCTTGGCTTGCCGCTACACGCCCGACCGATAAATAATTACCCTTCCCGCCTCGACAGCAGGCGTTTTCCTCCTTCCACCGATCCCTTCAGAAGCAGCAAAAGCTACCCCATCGCCGCGGTCGCCATGTCTCTCGACCCCGTAATGCCCCCTTTTAATTCGTCGGATCCGTCCGCCAACTTTCTCTCGTCATCATGCCTCGACTTTCTGTTGATAGAGCTCGTCCCTCTTGCCTACCGCATCGCAAACGAGCGCGACTCGACACAGGATCTGCCGGAGCCCGCGAGCACCCAGACGGCCGAGGCAGCTTCGACGAGCCACCGCGCTGCGAGTTTAGCGTCGGGAGGAGCTCACCACGTCTCCAACCCGGGTACCCGGAAGCTGGATGACGAAGAGGAGCTTGACGCGGTGCATTTTCGGCTGGAATCCCTCGGGTACCGTGTTGGACAGGGTCTGGTGGAAAGGTTTGTCTCTGGCCCGCCGCCGTTTTGGGGGGGGGGGGGGGGGGGGGGCGCGCG